ACATGGGGCATCCCTCCAAAAACTGTGTGGCTCACTCTGGGCAGGAAAGAAGCCATGTGCTGGACTAGTCTGCAATATTTGTTAATTTCTGGACATTGGTGAGGCTGATAGGACATCCTGAAAGGGCCCTGTGCTGAAATATGTTGGGACTTTTTCCAGCTCCCAAGGCATATGAGGCTGGGGTGGATGCAGATGGCTTAACTGGATGTTAAAAAAAGAAACCTACCAGATCAGTTATTTCTGTATGTATTTCTGTAGTGTTTACTGTAATGTTATTGCATATTTATACTGCCAAGTTGCTTCTAAAAACAACAAACTTTTTTTAAAATATGCTACACAAACCCCCATGCAAAAGTGGAAACCATCTCCTGTCGTGTCCTTTCTATTCTTGCAGAATAATTTTCCAGTGCAGTTCCTGAAATGGTCAGTTCTGACAGAACTTCTGTAGCTTAGTCTGCATAAAAGGTTGCTTCTAGCAATAATCAGCTAAAATGGTTCATGCAGTTATCACTGCTCTGACACAGCTGAACACTAAAAATTAGAGCTAGCAGTGCTTATCTGTTAACAAGTTCTTTAATTCTTACTCTTCTTTCAGTCTTCAGTCTATAAAGGTATTTCTTAGCTGCTGTATTGCCAAATTAGAAGTATTGGTGAGAGCGTTAGTTCATAGTTCTATCAGAATTAATATGAGAGGGACAGTTAGAATTCCATTAGAAGGTCTGGGTCCATAGATTGATTAGTTTAGATTAATCAACATAATCAATTTTCACTTACACCATGGTCTTAAATTATTTGCACTAGAATAGAGTTTCTTTTATATTTAGCTCAACTCTTTGAAGAAATACAGGCTGTCTAAATTTTACAGGAATGAACATTTTACCCAAATCACTAATACATCTAAATCAGCTTATCACATAAAATAAATGTTTGCCTTTTTGCAAGCAAGACTGTGTACCATGCGCTGCCTTTCTCTTTTCTATAATTAGCAGAAACATTTGGGAATTGCAATAACACTTTCTCTGTATCTTTACAAGAAAGAAAATGACCTAAAAAGGGAAGAAAGGCAAGTCTAGGAAGGAGCACTGCTAATCTAAACATCACCCACAACTTGCAATCAGGGACACTCCCTCCCTTCTCCAACCAGATCTTTCTGTATTTGTGTTTTGTTTTGGTTATTCAGACTCTCTCTCCTCACTACAGATTTCCCTACTTGGAAATATTATCATCTGAGATCACTGTACAGCAGTAACAGATAAAGCTGTTCCAAGCTGCAAACTGGGCTATGGGGTAAAAGTTTGGAATCACTGAAGAACACGTATACTGCAGACACAGGCTACCCCAACGTGGAACTAATAAGTTCAGTTGTCATTTTAGTAGTGTTCACATTGATCAGATAACTCTGTGCTCTCTCTATACCTAGTAGACACTTTTCAAATAAGAAACTTGTGAAGAAAAATCTGACTTTGCACTTGGAAAGCTGAATTTTGAACTTCTCTATACTGTTAAACTTCTCAATTGCTATCTACTAAAATTTCAGCCAGCAATACTTTGCCCAAGTTTTCTTGGGCAGTAACAAATGTTTTAAAACTCTTGGGTTCACAAAAATACCAGGACAATTTTATCCCTGAAAGAGACACTGTAAGAAATTAGACCTCTGCAGAATGTTAGAACTGTGATTCTGCAAAAGTTTAGTGCACAGCAAGTGAAAATGCCTTTAAATGTGTTTTACATGTCTGCAAATAAAGTCACAGCTCCAATTTCTGGACATGCAGACTTTTCCCCAGAATCCTTTCAGACACAGCCATTAGGCAGAAACCTGAAGGAATAACTAATGGTTGGTTGATGTTAAGTTGGTACACAGTCTCAGTGAGTCCTCCTCTGAGATCCCCACCACCTGCAGAAATTTTGGATAATAAACCAGCTAATTAGCTAGAAATTACATAAGGCTACTAGGTATTGGTACAATTTAGGTGAAATCCATGAAGCAACTGATTCTTGCAGAAACTGTGATCTCTCGAGTCCCTTCTTGCACACTAATGCTGTGTAAAAATAAGCTGGCTTTTTCTTCATACAATTCTTCCCTTTTTGCCAGTTGGAAACAGCTTTAGCAAATGCCTGGGATGGTAGCAGAAACAATAAACTGGAGGCTTTAAAATAAACTTGGCACTAAGCCTCGCTGTGTTGCTAGTTCACTGTTCGATTTGAGGTCAATCGAGGCTTCCACTCAGCAAGTAGCTGCTCTAAGCACACTGAGAGATCCTAAACAGCTGTGAGGGGCACAGATGCACAGCATTTATTGTTACAGTGCAGACAGACCACTAAGATGGGAGTTTGTTCCCACAGGAATCAACAACTGACAGTAGTTTTTGTGACACTTAAAAACAACTTGACTATTAGGGTTTTGCCCCTTTGTGCCAAAGCTTTTTAATGGGAACTCTAAGGCTTGCCAAGTTGGAATGAAGACTTACTATAGTGGGGGGGAAAAAAAGGAAATAGTCATGTTTAATTTGTGGTGGTAAAAGATGACTGGATTATAGGGAAAGCTTTTAGGTTTCAGAATAATGTTGAGGACTGTAGGGGAAGAGCACTGGCCAGGCAGGACTAGAATAACAGGTCATTTTGGCAAAGGAAACTATTGTTAATTCCTTAAGAGGCTTAGGGTGACACTTAAAACTAAATTTAGGGTTATGGCAATGGCTCAGCTGTGGAAGTACTTCATCAACTCCTTCAATCCCAAACACTAACAGTAAATGGAACTCCTCCCCACCTTCCCTGCCTTTACTCCAGCTGAAATTCCAATTTAGAAGATGACAAATCATAGACTATGCAAATCTAACAGGGAGAAAAAACCATATATTTGCCTTTGTTTATTTACCTTAAAAAAAACCCCCTTACAGTACCTTTAGCTCCTCAGTCTCAGATCTAATGCCAATAAATTTTGTCCAGTCCACAGCCCCCATTCAGCCTGCAATTTCACCGATATAAACTGCTCTTCTGTTCCCACTATACCCAGCCATGGGACATCCTAAACCAGTCTGCATTTCTGTTTTTATCTTAGTCTTGCAGGATCCATCAGTAGATCCAGGTTTTCAGCCCTTTGTGTTGATCTCTCAACCGTACCCTAATCTGCACTAGGGCTTTTGAGGAAACCAAAGGAAATCAAGCTGGCCACTTTCTATCATCTTTAACCTTAATCTAACACACAATATTGAGTGGCACAAAATGGATTAAGGCAGATCCTGGAGAAGAAATGGACTGAATTATTTTTAAAGATACTACTTGGCACATCAGAGTCTACAGAACAATTTTTTATTGTTCCACAAGGCTTACGGGTCTAAGATGAGGACTCAATATTTAAAGGCATAAAGCAGTTCAGATTTGTCCAAAGATGGATGTTGCTGGTCCCTTTACACTTGGGCTTAGACAACAGCCAGGAACTAAACTGTCAATCAGATGTCCTATTGGATCCTGCAGTTTTTAAGCTGAGACTGTGACTGGAATGAGCAGAAGCATATGGTTTTATGCAGACACAATATGCTGGGGTGGTTTGAGGACTCCTGTCATGCTTGAGCTTAGAATAAAAGTCCCAAGTTGTTACATTCTGTCATGTCCGTAATGTTAAAATCAAGGCGTATGGTAAAGAGATAGATATTTGAAAGACAATTATGAGACAGGGTATGGGTAGCTTGACTGTAAGGTTGAGAAAAAGAATTAAAATGTACTGCACTATTCCACAAAAGCAGCAGTGCTACAGTAAAGCCAGCAGAAACGAAGGACAGCAAGAATTTAATTTGCTTTGGTTATGTCTGGAAAAGATATTCTGGTAGAATATCACCCAAACTCAGTGAGTATCAGTGAAAATTGGCTAAAGGACTCTGAAAAATAAATTTGGCAGCACATCCACTTCAGTGTCATCACCCCTGAATAAAGGAAACAAGCAGGCAGGATTGAGGCAGGATTTCTTTTGACTCATTGAAAGGCCTTCATCCTGTTCCCAGAACTTGACCTAAATAAAGTTACCACTCTGTTTCTGCCCTTAAAAGCTTCTGAAATGGGTGTATTCAAGCAGGGACTGCCCATTAAATGGTTGGATTGCATCCTCTTCCTCAGTCTTTTTAAGTCCTGAGTATTGCTACACGTAGGAGTTGCCAAATTTTCCCCTTCTGGCTGTAAACAGAACGCGTTCAGAGAACCCCAGATTTCTTTTAAAAGCTTTCTAACCTCCCTCAGCATTTCACATTTCTTTTCTCACCACGACTGGCTGGCTGTCAGCGGGGAAGACATAAACATCATGAACACTAAAGCTTTATTTGCAGCCAGTCCTTGTTTGTAGCGGCAAGTATGGCAATTTTCAATGATGTTTTTGCTGCGCTAAATTAAGCCTGGGCTCTTGGGAGTAATTGCAGCGGCTTCCTTTAACGCAGCAATAATCCTTGCTAGAGTCACCATACGTGACGCGTAGCCTTTGGCAACCAGCAGAGCCGGCGTTTAGCAGCGGAGAGGATTTTCCCTCCCCGCTTTAGGAGGCGATCGAGGGTCGGTGCTGTTTGAACTCCCAGCCGCTGCTTTCGGAGGGGAAGCTCCCTCGGCTACGTGCGGGCGGCAGCCGAGCGCTGGGAACAACCGCGACCGACGGAGCCGCTGCTCGGGCCCCGCAAGGGGCAGGGCCGGTGTCCGGGGCAGGGGCAGTGCCAGGGGCAGGGCCGGTGTCCGGGGCAGTGCCCGGGGCAGGGGCAGTGCCAGGGGTAGTGCCAGGGGCAGGGCAGGTGTCCGGGGCAGTGCCCGGGGCAGGGGCAGTGCCAGGGGCAGGGCCGGTGTCCGGGGCAGTGCCCGGGGCAGGGCCAGTGCCAGGGGTGGTGTCCGGAGCAGGGCCGGTGCCCGGCCCCCAGCCCCGGCGGAAGGGCGGGCCCGGGCGGCCTCCCAGCGGCGGCTCTGGTGCCGGCCGTGCCGCAGCGATAGCAGAGCTCCTCGTTACACCCAGTTCTTTGTGCGGCAGTAAAATGCTGTTCCGCTTCGGCGTGGTGCTGCCCGCCCGGGTGACGGAGGGCGGCGCGGAGCTGCTGCTGGCCGGGTCGCGGCCGGAGCTGGGCGAGTGGGACCCGCGGCGCGCCGTGCCCATGAGGCGGGCGCGGCCGAGCGCCCCGCTGCCCGCCCAGGAGCCCGCGCTGTGGCTGGCCGAGGTGGCGCTGCCGGACGAGGACGCCGCCAGCCCCTTCTGGTACAAGTTCCTGCGGCGGGAGGGCGGCCACTTCCTCTGGGAAGGTAACGGAGGGAACCCCGCGCCGTCCCTCGCATGCCCGGCCGCAAGGACGCGCCGGCCCTGCCCGGAGGGGCGGTGCGAAGCTCTCCGAGGGCGGGCTCTGGCTCTGGCTCTGGCTCCGGCTCCGGCTCCGGCTCCGGCTGCTCCCGCCCCTGGCGCCGCCGGGGCTGTCCCGGCCGGGCCGGGCCTGAGCCCGAGCTGCCGGTGCCCCGGCACGGCGGTGGCCGGGGCTGTGCTTGCAGGTGGAGCCGCCCAGGCTGCCGTGACGCGGGTTCTCGCAAACAAAAATGGTTTTTAACCGTGTGATGGAGGCGGGTGAATGCAGAAGGAGGCTGCCTTTCTAGGTTGGTAAAAGTTATTTCAAAGAGTTTCATCCCCCCCCCCCCCCCCCCCTTACTTTAGGCATCCATTGTCATGATGTTTTGGTTTGGTATTTTTTTTTCCTTTCCCCAGAAGTAAAGAATTAGAATTTAGCATCTCGTACTATCCACTATGGTGTGGGTTGTTATTTTATTTCGCTAGGGTGAAATGTCATGATGGCATTTTCAGGCTGGTAAATTTTACTATTGTGATTTCTTAAAGAAAAACACAGGGAGAAGTTCAATTACAACTTTCCCAGTCTTCTTGCTGCTTCAGTAGTACTTCCAGCGTGTTTTCCTCCTGCCGTGTGATTTCAAATGTGGAATAACTAGTCAGTTTCCATGTGCTGTTCTAGTACATTGAAGTATCTTAAATACAAGAGAACACTCAGACAATCGTCTGCTGAGTCAAATAAAACTCTAAATATACCTCCTGAGGAATGATCTGACCTAGTGAAAGGAAGACAGCTTGCTTGGTAATTTGTGAGGGCATTTTTAACTCATAGCATAAAAATCCATGTACCAAAATAACACGTTGTAGACCAGTTGCTCTTCACCCGTTTAAAGAATACATACCACACTTCTGAACTCCCTTTCTGTCATGTAGACTAAAACATGCATGTTGTCATAACTGTTGCATTTGTTTGTTCTTCTTTGTGCTAATAAAAGATTTTGTGTTAATGCTGCCTTCACAGAAGTTTACATCATGAAGGACTATGTACATCATACAGTGGTGTTTTGTTTAGCAGCTAACACAAATAGTATATTCTGCCTGTTTTAACCATGTTTTTCTTTTCCAGAATTGCAGGAAAAGTGAATTTATGGAATAAAAATCTTTACATCTGTCCAAGGAAGCAGAATTGGGTCTCTTTGAAGGTGCCAAGTTGTACATAATATGACAGTGATACTGGTATATAAAGCAGTCACCACCCTGCAATTATAGAAATAATAGTAGAATTAGAAATTATTAGAATTTTATAGAAATAATGGAGAATAACTACAGAGAATCAGCACTTGTAAGGTTGATGGTTATTCTTTGGTTTGGAAGTAGTGGTAGCTCAATTTATTGTCTGTTTCAGGGAGCACGTTTAGGAAATGTAGTCAGAGTAGTAAACATACTGTGTTTTGGCAGATTTGCAGTTTTAGGATTAACCTGGCTGGCATTTTGTTCTTGTCATTGTGAATGCTCAGGAGTTTGAGTTCAGTTTCAGCTTAGCAGGAATGATAGAAAGGAAGTGGGCATATCATCTAAATGCAGAAGAGTTTTTTAATTAGTCGTTCATATTAACAAATTTTTCCTCAGTTGATATTTACAGGAAAGCACAAATTTGCTTAAAATTTAAATTTATTGTTCATCATGTATTACATGAAGAGAGCCTAAGAATGTTTTCTTGTTCAATAACTAAGCAATCTTGCAGTTCTTTTTAATCTAATTTGTTTTAATGGTTTTTGGTTTTTTTTTTTTTGTTGTTTTTTATAACTGTTGATCAATGACAGTTTGGCTGTCATCTGTTTATTATTATAAAAATCACAACTTGAAAAGACAAATCCCTTCTCAAAGAAAAGAACAGGGGTTTTTTGTGCTAAACAAATGCTGTGCGTTGTCTCTTTAGTATTCTGCATGTTTAGAATTAAAATGTGCTTTGGGAAACACTTAGCACTTGCAGAACATCTGCAGTTTTGAAGAGATATTTATGAGGGATAGAGGAAAGTGCAGAATGATACATGCTCTAAGTTTATGAGTTGAGGCATCCATCTGTAACCAGAGAAACTGTAGTCCATGGATATCAGTCTAGTTATGGATGTCAGATGTTTACATATATGGGGTGTTGAAATCATGTGCTGTATTTAAGAAAATTACTTCAGCTTTTTTCTTAAGACATGTATGTGTGTGAGAATTCCACTGGCAGTGCATATTGTTTTTATGATACTTTGATACCTACTGTATCATGTATTTTGAGTACAAATTGCAGCCATTCCAATACAGTAGAAGACTGAAAGATAAAAGTGGGGGTAGTTATTTTCTGTGGGCTAGAGGAGTCAAAGTCACAGACCAGCGCTCTGTGGCATTTTGTAGGAAGCTTTCAGGCAAGGCTCGGCCTGTGCAGGATTCGCTGGGTTGTTGCGTGTGCCTTGAGGGAACAATTCCCCTCCCTAGGAGGATGAAGTGGGAGATGAGGCTCCCCTGTGCTCCTGAAGGATCAGAGACTTGGCCCTGCTGTCCCAGGGAGATGTTGCTGGTCTGCACCCAGGGCCTGTCATTTAAAGCCATTGAGTGTTTCTGGCTCAGGTCACATGAGCTGTGTGGGGTTTCTTCAGGGTTGGTACCTGCTCACCTACTGTGAAAGCTGAAGCCTGCTGTCCAGGAGGGTTTGTGATATGCCGTGGTTTCTGTGGAAACAGGTTGGTTGTGCTGAGCTTTAGAATCTGGGAATAATTTCATGTATGTACCTTTTTTACTCCCAGCTGCACTTGTGTCTGTCTGTGTACTTTGTTTTTGATGTTGATTCTTCAGAACTGGACTTCACATCTCTCAGCTTGGAAACTAAAAGTATTTGTGCATACTGTCAAAACTAAATAAATACAAGATGAAACTTACGCTTGAGTTTGTTTTTATGAGTTTATGATGAAACACTCATGTGCACCTTTATCCCCTTACTTTCATCTAAATAAACTGGAGGTGCTAATCAAGAAACATGCTGCATAAAAGGACAGGGAATTTACTGGAGGTATTTACTAGAGGTATGCTCCAAACTGTATTTGGAGATGATGGAATACAATCAACTGATACATTGTATTTTTGGGAAGGGGAAAAATAAATTTTATACAAAACCTACGTAAGCTTGTAGTACCTACACAAGCTTGTACTGTAGTATTGATCCTTTGTTGCCCACAGAAGCTGTGGATGCCCCTTCCTTGAGGGGTTGGAGGCCAGGTTGGATGGGGCCTTGAGCAACCTGGTCTACTGAAACTTGTCTCTGCCTGGGGAAGAAGTGGAAAGCTTGGAACTGATGCTCTTGAAGGCTACTTCAACCCAACCTATTCTGCTATTCTGTGATTTTTGTGTAGCTCTTAATTTGGTGTAGATGGAGCTTGCTTGAAGCTTCCAGATACAGTATGACCAGTGAAAGCTCCAAAGCAGGGTCAGCCTATATTCTAGCAACTTGTGCAGGTGAGCAGAGCCTTAATCCTTCCAAAAAACCCCCCATCTCTAGTTTTGGGAGAAGGAGGGAGAAGGAGAGAAGAGGAGGTGTCTTGTTTGCAAAACAAACAAATGATACAATACAGTGCATTTTGGAAAAAATTACATTGTTCAGCCTGTGGTATGTTGGCCTTACAACATTTTCAGTTCTCGCTCCTGTGATCCTGTTTGTAATAAACCAAAAGATCAGTAAATTTGTGGAGTAATAAAGGTTTTCACATCATTGTAATACAATCAGTGAAAATATCAGAAGTAAATTCTAATAATATGTTTCAAGGGTTGAACACCCGATTGATTGAAAACATTGGTGATAGTTAAACACATTAAAATTTCATTTTTAAAGTGTGTTGAAACTTAAAGCAATCTGACTTTTGGCCTCAGCTCTTTGAATAAAAAAGGTGTAACTTCTTAATTAAAAGGAGGGGATTCTTCTAAGGCTGTATGAGAAGGTAAGATCTAGTTGCCATTTGTAATGGAGAGATTGTAACAGAATGAAAAATGCTTGGGGCTAAGCCTTAGCCAGATATGCAAAATAAAAATTCTTTTGAGGCCATTCTAGGAAGTACAGTTGGATACAATGTTTCTGGAACAGATCCATGGTTTCTTTTCCTTTTTTTTTTTTTTCTTCAAAAGCAGTTCCATTATTAAAAACAAACAAAAAGAAGTCCAACACAAAAACCCAGTGAACCCTGAAGAGTTACATTTCTTCATGGCTCTTTTAGTGCAGATGTTTCATGTGGTGCTCTTCCCACTGGGTGGTGCCACATTCCCTTTGTATAGCCAGCGGCTGCCTGGCATCTTGCAGCTACTTGCATGTTTCATTAGTATTTAGTGTAATCTGTTCTGCTTTTGAAAATAATCCCAAATTTTACTTGTTTTCCCAATCCCAGTTCTGAAGTAGGTGGTGACTAGAAATGGACATAAAGCACAAGCTGTGTGATAGTTGAATAATTGTGCGTCATTGGCATTTTATTCCAGCAAGGCTGTTGGTTTCTGGGCAGTGCTAGACACCTTAACACCTTTCAGATGTGACAAAACTTCACAAGTGGATAACTTTGAATTCTTCAACCCAGTACTTCCTTAAGGAATGGAGGAAAACCTTGGTTACAAAGTGCAGTAGCTCCTTGTGTTTTGTTTTTCAACCCCCTCAAGACTTATACATAGCATGCATTTTTGTATAATTAAATGGCATCAAGATTCTCATTACTTTCTGTCTGCTTATCAGCATTAACCAGCTTATACTGAGCAGACAACCAGACATCAGTAAAACAACGTAGAGTGGCCTATGTGAAACTGCAAAATTACAAGAATAAAAATAAATACATCTACTTGCAAATACATATTCTCTGGCTTTGGCAGGCATATATATTTTCCTACCCACATAGATAATCAGGGTCCAGTTATGATTTCTGTGAGAGTCTAATTAAAGCCTTTGTGGTTA